TACGCATGTCCTTTAGATAAGGGATTATATATTCCTCCATTCTCAAGATATCGTATAAAAACAAGACATGAATTTTAATCATTCTCTCTATATTGTTCCCCGACTTTCGATTTTTGACGACTGACAACAGACTACAATTGAACACATCAACTTAGTCCCAGCTTGGCCAAGCGCTTAGGTGTCATCACTAAATCATTGAGGGGCCCACATCGAATCACACATCAACTTCGACTCAAATGCTCGCTTGTACTCACTCATCGAATCACACATAACAATAAGTTTTATAACACCAAGTTACTGGTGCGTTTACTTATCATCAATGTGCAATCGACCGTCAAATAACAACTCACACGTCTCGGTTTCAAGATATACAATATTATCGACTCACAATCACTCGTGATAAAAATCATGAAGTGATTCTTGTGAGTGTGGGTTTAATCCAATACTCTAATCTTATCAAAGCACTCATGAACTCTGCAACAAGACTTGTGCTATGTCTAAACTCTTTAGACAATCTATAGACCCTTCATGACAGTCTTGCTTCATACCTACTTCCAAATTATGACCGACTGTGGAGGTTCAAATAACCCAGTTATTCTGGAAGTAAAAACATGCAAACTGAAACACAACAATAATATTTAATCCTATATGGCCCCAAACTTGTGAGAGTAAATAAAACACTTCTATTTAACCACTATATTGATTACTCATTATTTATCATTTAATGTTTCGGATAATCAACTCATTACTTGAATTACAACAATAGTTGTCCCATGCTCCAAGCATGCACACTTTGTTTCCTATGGTCCATGAAATAGATCAATTGAAAACTTTTCAAATGATGCTCATTTCACAATTCCTAATCCTCATTGTTAGTGTAAGAACACAAGGTTCTTGCCACTACTAGAATATGTTAGATTCTAACATTTTATGCAACGATCCTTTCGTAAAGTCATAGCACAAAAGTCACCAAGACACGGACAATAAAAATACAAGGTTCTCTATCAGAAATTGTTACAAAACAATTCTATAGATGTGATGTCTCTCACTCAAAGTACATTCCTTTTAACATCCTTTTTGCATAAAATTTTCTAATCTAGACATAAATTCTTAATTTCAACCTCCCAATATGGAAACATTTCCATATTTGCCATACGACAACTCATCCTTAATAGAATCTTATCTATTCACTATAATGTTGATATGGTCCATCCAACACTATACTTCCAACTACTCACAAGCAATAAATCCTTGGTGAACCTTAGATCTTCCTTTGATAGTTGTTCAATAATTTCAGTCAAAAACCATTCTAGTCCCTTTTCCCTCTTAATGCGCTAAGCATTTGGAAAATTTTAGAAAGATCAAACATTATAGCATATGCAATCGATCGTATACCCGAAGCGTATGGGACACGATTCATAATGTATTACATAAAGACGTGATACTTTACCAGTCTTTTTCTATAATATTTCTAATTGCCATGTTCTCACAATTTTGATTATGAAAAGGGATGTCGTAATCATAACCAAATTTTGATAATGCAATTATCCTTTCCATATATAGAATTTCCTTATGTTGAACCATTCCAACACAACATTCATATATATTTGACTAAATTTGATTAAAATTCCACAATCTAAGCCTTTAGATTTGAAATGAAGTATAATATTATATCCCTTAATTATAGCAAAACAACTTTTAAACCCTTGCGACTTTGAAAAGTATAACTCTTGTTTTCTATAATTAACATTGCTAACTTGCAATACTTACCATAATAATCATGATCCCACTAACATGATGATTATTTCCTTATTGGCATAACACTTATGCTCCAACTAGCTTTGACATGTTTTCAGAAAACAATGGAACTTCCAGAAGACAATGCTTATTGAATTCCTTAAGTTCATATTTCTAATACCTGATGCTTTGATAAGCCTTTATCTAAGCTTCTTAACTTCATACACCTTTGCCTTTGAAAGCTTACATGTGTGTCTAATAAAATGTAGAACTTATGTTACTAAGTCCCAAATGTTCAGGCTAATTGCCAAATCTCACAATTCGAACTATGAAGAGGGATACCGTAATCATAATTGAATTTTAGAATACAATTTACACAGTTGATATCTCCTTAAAATCTCTCTTAGTGAAAGCATTTCCTCACAACCATTTTCATGAAGGAGGGAAACTCTTATGACACTTAGATTTTATGATGTATGCGTTCCTATCCATGTAAATTTTTCATAACAACAATCATAAGAGAATGTTTGTGACAAATCCATCTCATATGGACTGAACTTGTTCAATCTCAATTTCCTACCTCATGGCAGCACGAGTGCCCACCATTGCTTCCAGGTTGTTAAGCAGCTCACCCTTACCTATCAATGTACTTTCCATTGATCAAGGTGCTTGCCTTTATGCATACAAATGAGAACTCACAGAATTCACATACATACTTAGCTCAACTGGAATGGCATAGAAACAAGAGTATGTCAGCCACGTTAGGTTATAAACCTCAAGTCGTGCGCCTGTGATGATCAACTAGGTTTGTTCTTGATTTGTTCTTGAAACCTTTCAAGAACATTAAACCTCCCACTTACTCCTTGACATATAAGATTCTCTTGTCAAGAAACTTTTCTTGACAAACAAATATTCAAGAGTTGGTGTAGCTTTTATCAAGTTAAAACACTTCACAAAATTGGTCCTAGTTGGCCTTTGTCTTATCCAAGACATCACAACTTACCAATTTCAAATGTGCAAGAATGAGAAAACTTTTCCAAATGCCACACTTGATGAGTGTTATAAACCTATTTAAGACTTTTCACTCAATTCACAATCTTGACTATAAGACTTGATATTGGAATGAAATATGATTGACTTCTTGATTTAACCATTTCTACAATTCTTGATTCATCTTCTTAGAGATGCAACTGCACTAAGACTCACTTAGAGGCACTACTAGAAAAACAACCTTTTACGATGCTCATTGCACGTCATAAAAGGCTCAGACGATGTGCAAATGTGCGTCAAGGAAGGCCCTGTTATAAAGAGAGACGACGCGCTTTTGCACGTCGTCTATAGACGATGCGCATTTACGACGCTCATTTACGACGCACAATTACGACGCACATTTACGACACGCAATGCGTATCAAGGAAGGCCTTGTGATAAAGGAAGACGACACGCATTCGTGTGTCGTAACCTTACGACGCGCGTGTTAATGACATGCAATGCGTATCAAGAAAGCCCCTGTCAAGAAAGGCCATGTCATAAATAAACATGACACACATTTTTGCATATCATAATTTTAAATGTTAAAAAAATATTATTTATAGATTTACTTATTTTCAAATTAAATTTGTGTTTAATGTTTCATAATAGAAAATAAAATATCATATACAAAAAATAGAATCCATTGCATAAATTTAATGTCATACAATTCTATTTCTTACAATATATAAATTTGCATCTAATCTACTATGTACATCAAATTCCAACTAAGTAAAGTTGCATATTGCCTTTCATAATTCTTGAAGACTAATGCTCCAAAAAGCAGATTATATGGATAAACAGTTGTACATTGACCCATCTCACTCAATATACGATACCTCGAGTTGTGGTAGAGTACATGCTTCTCCATCAACAAGCATGTCATAATTACCAATGACTCAGGGGTATTGTGATTTCTCATTATATTAGCTCAACAATTAGCTTAACAATCCTCTTTAGCAAACCATGGTTGCAATTCTCTCTCAACCTAACAACCAAAACAGCAACATAGATTCAATCTTTTTTAGTATGGTAATAAGAAGAAATGTTAAGATACTTTTTTGAAAAAAAAAATCATTAATCTCGAGTTCTATAGATATATAAATTAGTGAAAATGAAAGAGTCATGTAACTTACATCATCCTCATTGGCAGAGAAACTCCTTTGATGAGTTAACCTAGGAATTGTGCTTTTTTGAAGAAACAAGTATTAGTTTTGTGAGCCTTTGAATTCTACTCATTAAAGCTGTTTTTTTTAATAAACACAAAGCATAAATAATAAAAAAAAATAAAACAATACCTTCTATTTAACTTATTTTAATACAAGGGTGTTTTGGTCTTTTATAAAAAAACTCCACCTTCCCATCTGAATTGTGAAATTCATCAACTGTGAAGGATTTTAAATTAGATTTTGTCCATTTGCAACCAACCGTATCATGGAATGGAATCATGCATTCTAATTGTATTGGATTATATTGGAATCCAGAAAGTGGAAAAGGAATTGCCATTAAACTCACAGAGTTAGGATCGAAATTCTTTTTGGGAGCATCGACCTTAAGCTTGCATTCCTCTAAGTGTTTACCAGGTTCTTTACTAAACTAGATTTCAAACAATTACAACATTTAACAGTGTCATTAATCATTTAAAAAATGGACCTTCATTATAAAAAAAATGAACATGTTCTAGAACTAAATAAGATACTAAATGGTGACTCAGAGTTAGTAACGTTCGTTCATCCAGGTGTGTCCACACCTAACCAAACATAGAATGTGGCATACAGGATTACAACACCAATAACAGCCATACCAACCACCACCAAGGCAGAGAAACCACCATCACAAACCGCTATCTAAACAAAAAAACTTGCCAGCTCAGCAAGATGCTTAGAAAACAACAGACCTGATAAGACACCACTAATCACAGTAAGCCAATGATGATGGTCCATTAGTTATTGTTACAATTCTACCTAAAAGTCTTCATTGGTTATTGTTGCACTTCAAGTTTATTATTAAGAGACTTAATGCAAAAAGAATCAACAACTAATTTGGGAAATTAGAAAAAGAAAAAGAAAAAGGGAAGTAGAACTTGCTTGAACTCAACAATATTTTTTTAGATCTTTGCAAACTAAAATAGTAAAAGATTAAACATGGTTAAAGCTCATTAGCATAATGATTAATTTTTTTCCAATCAAACTATAAAAGTTTAAGACAATTTTTTCACTTTTACCAATTTTGACCTAATATACTGTTATATCACGTTTCATGACTTCTCGGTAATTCTGTAATCCTGTTATGTCAACTTGCACATCTAATCTCACCATGCACTCTTCCATTACCTATTAAACATTATCAACCAAAAAAAATTACTATTAATCACTACGTATATTGTATAATCTAGACACATATGTATAATGTAATCAAATGAAAAGTTACCAATCTAGAAAGCACAGGCAAGCAACCACAATCATGTCCAGCAGCTCGAACAGGACAAATCCTTTCACAAGCATCCATGAAAGCAGTATTCCGTAGCTCCATTGAGAAGTTTTCTTTTTCTTGCTCACGTGATGTTTTTCTACTACATTCTGAATCTACAATTCTAACAATACCCTCTGCAGCCGTTGATTGCATATATGGAGTAAGTGTCTGCAACAACTCAATCACCACATACTTATACTCTTATACAATAAAAAAAAGTCATTAATATTTAATATTATGCAACAAACCTGCCACCATACTGAATCGATAATTCGTGAGAAGATCCAAGATTCAACTTTTTCCAAAGCAGAAGTGAACACAACATTTAAGTAAACATATATAAGATAGATAACAATCACCAAAAAATGCAACAAAAGGAATAGATGAACAGACCATCAAGATGATCATTATGATTCTTGGAAGGCATTATATTCTGTTTATAGCAATTTCTTCCATCAACATTTGTATCTTTGCGAGGTTTATGGTCATTGAGTTCTATAATGTCAACTATATGACCATCGAATTTCATTGACTCGCCAGTTGTAATCGTTTCCTCCTTTTTAAGGAATCTGCTTTCTAATTGTGTCCTTGTTTCATCATATAGAATTGCCTAAAGGAAAAAAAAACAAAAACAAAAAAACTATGAAAATGTGTAATTTTGTTTGGTGGGTATATCAAAATGTGTTGAAATTTAACCTGCCTCCCCCGCAACACAGAAATTAAAACTTTTAAGATTCCATCGTGAAATTTCTTGGCTTTTTGTGTTAATTGAGTAGTGTATAAGACCTGCCATTCTAATTGGAAAAAAGAAAATGGAATCAGGAATGTGAAAACAATATGCAACTATTTCAGAAAAAGTCTAACAATTAAAAATATATAAAAATGATTAATAATATGAAACAAATCTTTCCACTTAAGTATTGATACCCAATATAAAGCCTAACATCTGAGATTCCTCTGTAGTTTGTAAGAGAAATTGTTCGTTTAGAAAACAAACCTGTTGAATCATCATTAGATGTGTCTGGATAACTAGGTGGAGAACAATACTTCTTGACTTCACGTTTCTTGAACTCTGATATCATGAACGTTAACATAAGTTCAACGGCACTTAACATTGTTACATTACATGATTATGAATGTAATATAACTAACCTCTGATAATTTTCTGTGATGGACTCAGATTGATTGATGATGTTTTACCAATTCGTGAGCTAACCTTGCTAGTTTCTAAATGAGAAAATAGAAACACCAAAACATGTGATATTTAGTTATATACCAACTAAACATCATAAAAACAAGTGGAGTTATTATTTAACTTACTACTGTTGGACATGTGAGCCTTAACAACATCATCAGTTGTTAATATCACCCATAGCAATCACTGTACTCTTTTTCTTGTAAGTGTTCCATTTTTTGTGATATTTTTATCTACTTCTGTTATGCTTTCTACTTGATTAGTTTCTGTGATTTGCTTAAGGTTGTTTGAAAGCTTAAAGAACTACATCTCCAAATCTCTCATTAAAACCATAGACCATTTGGGGTCTATCGTGTATAAACTCAACAACCATTTTTTCCCCCAACAGCCATTCCCATCCATGATACCGACTGCACGTCCCCCGCAAATTTAGCCCTGATAATCAATAATAAATAAAATCAGTTTTGTATAAACCAAAAGTATTATTAATTTATTATAGTTGTTGGAAGTGAATGGATGGAGATCGACATGATGCCACATGGAAACAGGGACAGAAGTGTTGGTCCTATTCCTAGTGAACTTGGGAAGTTGAAGTCTCTCACTGATTTTAAGGTGAAAAACAATCAAATTAGTGGTTCTATTCCTCCAGAGTTTGGAAATTTAACTCAACTACAAAGAATTGATATGTCTTCAAATCATTTGATTGGTGAGATCCCTAAGGAGTTTGTAAAAATGAAAAGAGTGTTGTATTTGTCATTGGTTGCCAACCTACTTTCAGGTGGTATACCTCTAAAGCTTGGATTTTGTGAACTCCTTGAAGTACTTGATCTATCTAAAAATAGATTGAACAAGTCGATTCCAGGTAGTATTGGTCAATGATCACAAATCCACTACTTGAATCTTAGTAATAACAACATGAGTGCATCAGTATTCCCATGGTGGATCAATTATCCTTGCTTAAAACCTGCATCAAGAAACAAACTTTGAGCATATAAAGTGCAATAGTTATCAAATAAAACTTCACATGGATACACACATATAGAAGGGGTAATAAGATCTATTTAGCATGTATACCAAAATGAAATTCATAGACATGTGTGCACACTATTATTAATGTTGATTACATCCAGCCACTGCCACATGACAAACTCACAAGAATTCCCTCCAGATAAAAGAGTCTATAAAGATGTTTAAACCAAATAAAACTAACAAGTTACACAAAAAACCATTAAATCCATTGGTTAGGCCTTGCAAAGAAGCTAATTTAACTGGTTCTTATCTGATACATCAAGGTTCCAGTGCTGACAGCAACTAGGTTGTTAGCCACTGTGAACTCCAAGTCAAAGCTGAAACAAAAAAAAACATCAAAATGAATTTAGTGCAAACAAACTGATTCAAATAACAATGTATGCTTACCAGCAACACTGTGAACTATCATCCATACAAGGGAATTCCCTGAAAATGTTGTTAAGGATTCACTTTGAATTTGATAAACAGTGACTGGTTTAAAGAATATGAAAGTGATACTCCAGAATGTGTGAAATATTAACACTGTTGAACTTGGTGAACAACGATATGTTTAAAGAAAAATATGTTTAAAGAATATGACAGTGATACTCTTTAACTGGATGAGTAGCTAGTACGGATTCATTTTGAACAACATCTTTTCTTTCCTGTATACCTCATCACCAAAACGGCAATTGATGTTTGAGGAAATCTTGGAAGAGAATGCGGCTAACAGTAGACATAGTGCTAGAGCTGTTTGACCACCTGTTAGGCCGGAAAACATGGTGAATTTGGTTTTCAGCGAAGAAAAAAGATGAAATCGGATGTATATGGAGATGGAGATGGTTACCTATGTTGATGTTGTGACTAATGGCGCCAAGGAACCCTAAACCGGATAAGGAAAACGGATTGGACTTTAGTCGTGTAGGACGACGTGAACAATGGTGGAGGTGATAGCCGATGGTGTCTGGTTTAGGGCTTTTAGAGAATATGAGATATTTTTGTTCAGAGAGAGAAAGTGGAATCGATGAGAATGTAAGCTTCGGTTACTATATACCAAAAAAACCGATGTAAGCTTTAATGAAAGTAGAATCGATAAGAATGTAGAGATCCCCAAATTGAAACCTTGTCCAGTAGAATCGATTTGAGAGTGAGTGTTGGATTTATTGCTTCCCTTTCCTGGTTCGCTTACCCTTTAGTTACCCTAGTCGATCGATTCTAGCTTTCACGAAAAACCCTAGGTAGCAACTGATAGAGACAAAAAGGATGGGGCGAAGGTAGGATTGGATATGATTTCAAAGAGTAACAGTAGATTCACTGAAAACCCTTTCCCGGTTCGCTTGACCTTTGGTTACCTCAGTCGATCGATTCAAGCTTTCAATAAAAACCCTAGGTAGCGAACGAGAGAGACTAGAGGGAATGGAAGGAGCGTCGATAATCTGGGAAGAGGGAAAGAAGAAAAAGATGCGGGGTTTTTAATTTTTTAGGATTTCATTTTCCCCTGGATGGAACGCGCGTTCCATTAAAATTTATAAAGCGACGTCTTTAGACGACACACATTTTATTATAGGTGCCCTCCGTGTTTTTTTTTGTTTGTTTGTTTAGACACTAATTTAAGGGCACTCAGTAATGCGCGACCTAAATCCTTAAATTTTTTTGAAGAGATGACACTTTTTTAATGTCGCTCTCTAATGCGTAACATAAATCAAAGAGCGTCGTGTTTTGCACGTCGTAAAATGGTCTTTTTCTTGTAGTGAGGATCAATTGAGACATGGTTCTTTATCATTAAGACCTATAATAAAACACAATAAAAGTTACTCTCCCTTCTTCTTAGAATAGAGAAACGTTTTATCTTTCTGCCTACTAGATTCTTCTTACTCGTTCTGCTATTGATTGAAACTCTTTCAATCAACCCAGAATTATATTCAATCGTATAAGCATAACCATATTTACTAAAATTTAGTAAATCATGACAAATATCGTTGTCACTCTTGTGGTAGACTTGATCAACGTACGACCTACTGTACTCGATCTCCTGGTCCTTCAATTGACACTTTGTCAAAGAATTAGTCTAATTTCCAATTATGAAAGTTTTTCATTCATAATACAATACACGTTGCATGATTCCAAGTTTCTATCCACTTGAAACTTGGGCGACGAGAAACTCTCCCTATTTGGTAAACTCTAGATACTTCCACAAATAACCTAATTAAGAATCAAATCCATTTTGCTAATAATAGAAATACAAAAACATCATTTTTTCATACACGCCATTATAAGGATAAATAAATAAGATAAAACTCAAAATTTATTTTATTGCGGAAAAACTTGTCCTTCACAATTCAATTCAACTGAAAAACTATGCTATTACATATTTCTTAGCAATCTACCCTAACTCTAAAGTAGCAGTACAAAAATCCGATCTTTGAATCCATGCGATCGAAATCCATTTCTTCATGATCAGATTTAGCATGCTTCTTCCTTAAGTTTCCTTTATTTTCTTCGATCCTACAAAACACCATAATGTAATCTTATCACATCATGTATTAAGAACCAAAAAAATAGGAACTTACAGAGTTAGTTAATGGATTTTACCTGAAGTAAGGCCATACGTCTTGACTCTCCCATCTCTTAGATCTCTCAGGTAACCAGGGCAGCTTCGTCTCCAATGCCCCTTTGGCACATTACATGGGAAAATCTCATGCTCAGTCCTTTCTGGACTTCCAATGTTGCCAGTGTCCATTGAATCTTGGGAGTTTGACTCACTAGAAAATTTTGCTTGACCAGCACGCCAAATCATTGTTGATTCAGCAGCTATAAGCAAATAAGTGAGATCAATTAGGGTCACATCGTGTTCCATCATATAGTACTCTCTTACAAACTCACTATATGTATCAAGAAGTGACTGAAGAACCCAATCAACAGCCAACTAACCTGAAATCTTGACACCCAACATTCTTAACTTGTCAATGTGTGACTTCATCTCTAAGACGTGTGCACACACGGGTTTCCCATCTTCGTGTTTACTTGCCAAAAGGGTTTGAGTGAGCTTGAACTTTTCAAGCCTTTGAACTTGTGGTTCAGGGAGAACAATTGGAAGAGGTGGATGAAGTGAAGCATGACTCTCATTTCCTTGATCGTATCTTGGAACATCATCTTCATTTGAAAAGCTTGTTCCAGAGGATTTGGGAAGACCATTGTAAGATTCAAACATCTACAAAACGGGAGAAAATTCAAGTTAAGTTGATTGAGTCCTTAATAAAACACCCAAATGAGTTATTAAGACCAGGATCCAACACAATGCTCTACAACTTAGAAGAGGGATGTCGTAATCTAGTTGCAGAATATTTGAAGGTAGGTAAATGACGATTTACCAATTTCCACCATGAAAAACGAAAAAGAAATTTAAGTTTTAAATGAATTGAAACTCCTAGATCTTTTGAGATTCATTGAACTTTTCAATGGCATGTTTAATCTCGATTATTCCCTTCAAGTTTGCGACTGGGATGCCGAGGATCACAAACAAGGTGAGAATAACCATATAAATCTACGTGGTGCACTCAATGCTACTATCACCTAATCAATGTGTTGGTTAGCCACACACGCTCCATTGATCTATGACAAACATCGATCCACCCTTCTCCACCAATGTCAATACCAAATTAGAGTGTCGGTTAATCACACACGCTCCACTAACGTTTGACAAGGGTACAAAGTGTAATTCTACGGATTAGCATACAATTTCACATTTTGCCTAAAGTAACAATGATTTGGGAATTTGAAAAAGCATGTAGTTACTTTGTACTTCATTATACTTATAATGGAAGGTTTTGTCCTATCCTACCCGTTCGGCTAATGACCCTCCACTAGTCAAGAGTGCGGTGGGTAAGAGTGGATACGCATTCAATCGCCATTTTATAAGCATTTTCCTTAAACACCCCTTATAGACCAGCTTCGTGAATAAGACCTACTAATGGTAAGCTGACTCTTTACTCATATATATATATATATATATATATATATATATATATATATATATATATATATATATATATATATAATATTAATGTTACACATATATAGTATAGGGTGTATTTTACACTTTTAAAATACTAGATGGTTTTATTAGCTTT